GATAAGTGGCCAATTGGCCAGATACATCGAGATGTGCTACACTACATGAAACAGATGCAAATAAGCCATATTTGGGTTAGGAAACAATAGCCGATGCATAGTCGAGATGCTTGACTCGGTTATGCAATGTGGGCCTGACAGATAACTCATATCCCACATATCCATTCTGTATTATGTCCGTACTATTCCCACGATCACGTGACTTGTAACATAGTTCTTCCGTTCCTGAGTGAATCCCTGTTGTTCCCGTGATCCTGCAGGACAAATGTCCTGTCCTAGCCGCTCGACGCCCAAGTGGGTCGGTTAGCTGTTATCCTTGCATAACGGGTCGTAACATCTAGCTAGAGGTTAAGTGCTTCACGCCGGCTATACAGGCAATTTAACCTAACTCTTATATAGAGCTCTTCTCTCTCATTTAGTTTATAGTTAATCATCAGGGGATCATCATATTATTTATAACGCCAGACCAGTCTCATCATATCTCTTAAGGGCCATAGCTGAACTCTCAAGCATCTCTATCCCCTTTGTACAATGTGGTATCTTGAAACGCGCCCGTTAATCTTACGCCGCAACAACCTCCTCCTTAGGCGTCTTGTCGACGCCATTCGCCTTCTTCTTCTTGCCATTGACCTTTTCGGTCTTAGCACTATCGCGAAGCTTCTCAAGCTCAGCCTCGAGGGCCTTGACACGTTCTTGTGCTGCAGCGGCGTCGCCCTTGGCAGTCTCGACGTCCTCAGCCATAGCATCACGAGCGGTGCTAGCTTCCTTGGTCTTCTCCTCCCATTCAGACGCGTCCTTCTTAGCAGTTTCCAGCTCAGTAGCAGATGCGGTCTTAGCAGCGTCTGCAGACTCCTCAAGGGTGGTGTATTTGGTCTGGAGCTCTGACAGCTCTTTGCTCAGGCGAGCGGACTCCTCGGTCGCGTCGTGCTGTGCCTTCTCATGGGCCTGCTGAAGGGCAGTGTACTTCTCCTCGATCTCGGCAGCAGCCTTCTTGGCGGCCTCCGCATCAGATTGGGCCTTCTCGCTGGTGTTTTGCAACGTGGTGGCCTTCTCCTCAGCTTCCACCAGCTGTTGTTGCACGGTGGCGAGTGTTGCGGCAGCATCAAACTGCGCCTTCTCAAGAGCGTCTTGGATAGCTTTCTTGTTCGCCTCCAAGTCGGCAGCAGTTTTCTTCACAGCCTCGAGCTCGGTGTTCGCGTCGGCGGTAGCCTTGTCTTGGGCTTGTTGGGCGACGTTGAACTTTTCCTCCCACTCTGCTGCAGCCTTCTTCGTCTCCTCAAGCTCGGTAGTTGACGTAGCCTGAGCCTGCTGCAAGGCATTGTACTTCTCCTCCCACTCGAGTGCGGACTTCTTAGCCGCCTCGGTATCGGCGTTCGCGATCTCCTGGTCCTTCTCCATTTTGGCGTACTTCTCCTCGGCCGCAGCAAGGTCTTGCTTAGCTGCCGCAAGCTCAGCCTCAGACTCAGCCTTGAGTGTGTCGTGGCTTTGCTGAAGATCAGCGATCTTTCCTTGGGCATCAGCGAGCTCCTGCTTGGTGGCGCTGGATGCCGCGTCTGCAGCGGCCTTAAGCTCGTCAACATTCTGCTGAAGGGAGGCAAGCTTCTCCTGGGTCTCAGCAAGCTCCTTGGCAGCGGCGGCGGCTTCGTCCTCCGAGCCGGTCTTGAGCTTATCGTGGGCACTCTGGAGCTCCGCAAACTTCGCTTCGATGTCGGAAAGAGCCTTCTTGGCAACGTCCAGCTCGGCAGCGGCCTCTGCCTTGAGCTTGTCCAGGGTCTCTTGGAGCGTGGAGAGCTTCTCTTGGGTGTCGGCAAGGTCCTTCTGGGCGGCGGCGGCGTCGCCATCGGAGGCTGTCTTCAGGGTGTCGTGGGCGGCCTGGAGGGCAGCAAACTTGTCTTGTGCATCGCTGAGATCCTTCTTGGCAGCCGCCAGGTCGGAGTCGGTGCTGGTCTTGAGCTTGTCGAGGGTTTCCTGCAGCGCAGTATACTTGTCGGCGGCGGCGGAAATCTCGGCAGCGGTATCGGTCTTGAGCTTGGTGTGGTCGCTGTCGAGGGAGTTGAGCTTGGCCTCAACGGCAGACATGGCTTCTGTTTTCTCGGAGAGAGACTTGGCGGCGGCGTCGGCGTCGGCCTTGAGCTTGGCGAGCTCCTCGCGAAGGGAGAGCTCGAGAGACTCCTGCTGCTTCTTGGCCTCGGCGAGCTCCTGCTTCACAGTGGCAAGCTCATCTTCGAGAGTCTTCTTGTCGTCTTGAGCCTTCTGCAGCTGGTGTTCGAGGGCGGCGAGCTGGTTCTTGACATCGTTGAGCTCCTGGGCGCTGGCGGCGGTAGCTTCATCGCCAGCCAGAGACTGAGCGGCAGCCTTGTCGTTAGTTGCAGCAAGCTCAGACTGGAGGTGAGCGATCTTGGCGTTGCTCTCCTTCTGGGCGTCGGTGAGGTTGTTGCTCAACTCCTGGACCTTCTTCTGGAGATCCTCAGCCTCCTTGGAGACGAGGGTGTGCTCCTTCTCTTTCTTCTGGAGGTCCTCCTCGAGGGCGGTGATGGTCTGTTTCTGGTCGGCAATTTTCTGCTCAAGGTCGGCTCGGTCACCGTCGGTCTGCGGGGAGGAGAAAACGTTGCCCATGATGGAGTCGCGACTAGGTGTTCTGGTGACCTGAGATTCGAAATGCAAACAACACGAACTTTCTTCAGGGTGCAATGCGGCGCGAGAGGGAAATTGAAGAGTTGGAAGGTGGCGGTATGCAGGCAAGACCCATGGACCAGAGGAGGGCCAGCAGAATGGAGGAGGACGATAAACAATAGGACGAACACCTCAGGAAAGGCGGTCAGCCGTGCACCTACACTGCTACCCCACTGCACCTCACTTTTCTAGCGACCAGGGTCTGTCTTTTCTTTCCTCCTTCATTCGATTCTTTCTGCTTCTCATCGTGGGGCAAGTGCAGAACACACATAATTCTTGCGTGGTGCGTCGTGCTCCCGCCCAACGCAACCGCCGGGCCAGTGAGCATGGTGCTCGCTCAGTGATTAAATGAGGGTCTGGATTTTTTTTTCTTTTTGGCCTGAGTGGACAGACCGGTGGACCCCTGTATCAGCTCCACCAATCGCGGCCAATAGCTCCACTAGCTCCAACGTTGCACAAGGCCCTGCTCGCCAATAAGGAAAGCGGACGTTTAGCAGCAAAGTCGTATCTACAGCCAAATCACAGCAAAAGGGTACTTGATGCTTGTTGGCCTGAGGGTGATATCCGTAATCGGGCTCCCAGGCACATTGTGGAAATTTGGCAGGTGCGAGAGACGTGGGGGGCTCTCAATGGTCTGTTTTTGTGTGCCGCTGCACGCCGGTTTTTTCTTGTCCCCGGTCCCCTCGTCGTCATTTCTGTCATCCGCTGGATTCCGCTGGATATACTTATCGTGTCGCCTCTTCTAGGAAACAGAAACAATCAGCATCAACTCTAAGTGAGGGAGGTATGGCACGCGGGTGCTGCTGCATTTGCTCATCTCAAGCATGTGACCACGGGCGATAAGCGGAGCGAAGAACACGAGGGGAACCTGACAATAGCGAAGAAGAGTCATCGAGGGGAACCTGGCTCACGTTCAACCTCAGGCTCACAATCCAGCTGCCTTGGCTTTAAGGCGGAAAAAGGACCAATCTTGCATGAACGATGAGTTGTCACGGTTACCTTACTTCGTCATTTTCTCCTCCCGCCCGGTCGTCCCGTTTCTATGTTGACTGACAGTTGAAGAGAGGAAGATTGCACAGAAAAGAAAGAGAGTGGGAATGGAAAAAAAAAAAAGGGGGGGGGGGGGAAGGACCCGATTGCCTCACCGACAGACCGAGCCAATGAGTTCCTGTCACCGCTTGACGATTAGAGCGCACGGCTTAACGATGACGGTCAATCGAGTCTAATAGATTTGTTTGGCGTAACTTGCCACTTATCATCTTCGTTAGCCACCGGTCGCATTCAATTGAAGCAAAGAGATGCCACCGCCCACATCGCCATCTCGCCCTCACAAGGTGCTCACCTTGTGAGCAACATGAGTTTATCGTAACGAGGCCACATTGGGTCGGTCTTGCCACTCGCCGTGGAAAATGTGTCGCGAACACTCGCGAGTAAAAATACATTTTCAAATCCATCCACCGCCGCCTTGCCTCCTCAACCCCTCAAACAAAACTTTTGCCCTTGCCCCCTCCCCCCCCCCCTCTCCCCCCCCCCCCCCCCCCCCCCCCCCCCCCCTCCTTCCCCCCCCCCCCCCCCCCCCCCTC